CAAAACTACTTCAGCTTAATGAAGCAGTTTTGGTGTATAGATCATGCCCCTGCAGTCTCACCGCTCAATTCTCTGCCATTTAGAAGTTTAATCATTTTGTTTATGCAGTCCTAGTGACACCTTCCTGTATGTGACTTGCAGACTTCCTAAACACTTCATGTAAATTGAGATCTAATGTTTAAACTTCATTTATTGCAAATTCCGTTTACTTTAGAATTTCTTATCTCCTGCTATATTAATAGCTTGCTAGACCCTCCTGTTCAAGTTAATTTAATTAAAGTTCAATTTACAGAGCAAGAAATTAAAAACATTTAAAACAAGTGATGTGATTGAAAATGAAACTTTTTTTTTTCATGCATGCTGTGTCAGTCACAGACAGTAGGTGTGGCTAGGGCTGCATGGACGGAAGCAAGATGATTTAACTCCTAAATGGCAGATAATAGAGCAGTGAGACTTTATAGGCATCACCTATACACAAAAACTGCTTCATTAAGCTAAAGTTGTTTTGGTGACTATAGTGTCCCTTTAAGTTACATATCTTTAATTCTATACATTTGCTAATCATTCAGCTAGCAGAATGTGTGTATGAAATAAGCAGGGTTACAAAATATAACCCATTTGCCACAACAGTATTTATTTTACTTAGAAGGTTCAATGTATATATCTTGCTCTTTTCCAATGCTGTGTTAGCACAGAACTCTTATCACTAACTTCCATTGTTCTGGGTCAAAAGTCAAATGATCCTGGCTGCAGTTAGCCGATAAGGTACACAGGGTGATCAGTTTTTTAACCTCGCTAATGTTTGCAAATTTTAATGAATTGTTTTATACTTTTCGTAGTTGCTTGGTAACCTGATAACGTATCGCATTATTATACAGGCCTCATGTGGACTCAAGATATGAATGTGGTTTTACACACATGTAATAAATACACATTAAGATCTCATGAATATCTACTGATCGTTTACAATGGAAATACGAATAAATGCTTTTTCCCCATCTGTATATATTTGCAAAATAATTTACTAATTAAAATGATTTTTTTATTTTTTATTCCAGCAATCGCACATCTAGGAAAGTGTAGGAATGTGTAGGAAAGGGACTTGCCACATTCACAAGAAGTGGACCCTCTTTGGTTCGAAAAACTTTAAAGCAGTACAAAATGTACTTTTTCAGTGAAGAATGGCAACAAATTTATTTTAAACAGTAGCATAATATAAACAACAAACGTAACAATCATCAGGCTTTTAAAGGAACAGTAAAGGCTAAAATGTTTGATTGACATATCCCTCAAAATATTTTTTGGTTCATGTCTATTAGTTAGAGTATCGCAAAAGTGTATAGTCCACAATGTAATTCTTTTGATGAAACACTAATTTCCAATAAATGAAGTCTAGATGCCAACTCA